AAATATAACACATATTACATCATTGTTCTAGCATATATAGAGTTATATATATACATAGTATATATGTACACAATAATATATAACATACATCATATATATATATATATCCTTATATCATCAAATCATTAATATAATACATAATATATATACATATATATATGCACTATATATAAAAAAATGTATATATATGTATATATACTTGCATACTCAACTAAAGTCTCACTCATACTATAAATATTCTTTTATATATATCTTTATACTTATATGTGTGTGGTGTGTGTTGTTGTTGTGTGTGTTGTGTCGATGTGTGTGGTGTGTGTGTGTGTGTGTGTGTCAGTCGTAGTTGCTGGTGTGTGTATGTGGTGTGTGTGTGTGGTATGTTGCATATATGCATTAGCAAGTGTCTGTGACGTCGTGTGTATATAAAAAGTATATAATTCACAGAGGCTATTCATGATAAATTATCTATCATATATATATATATATATCAATAAAATACTCACAATTATAACATATAATAGGGCTTATCCCTCATATATATATATAATATATACTTCTCACCAGTAGTGTATATCCTATACTGGTATACATATGCAGATAATATACTATATATTATATATATATATTATATATATATCGGTTAAAAATATACATACTTCTATATAATTAAATATGTTTACAAATATACATGTGGCATATATACAATATATATTAGCTGTCATTAATTATAATATATTTATATAATATATATATATATTTATCCCTATATAATATGTTATGCAACACACACACGCACAGCACCACACATCAACGAACAACTGAAGCCACACCACACACACACAAAACACACACACACATCCACACACATCACACACCACAGCACACACACCACACAACTACATATATATACAATATCTATTATTAATTATATAATAGGTATTACTACATCCATGAAGAAATATCACATATATAATTAATATAATAAATACGTTATAATATATACACACACTAACACACACACACACACATGCACACGCATAATATTAATATTAATATATATAATATACATATATATAGTATATTATATAATTATATATATATATAATATATTAATAATATATTAATATATATAGATAGATAGATATATATTATATATATATAATTATAATTTATATGAATTAATATAGATATATATATAAGATATGAATAATAGATAGTAAATATGATGCTAGATGCAAACATACACGCCATAATAAAATATATTGCGATAAGAGAGTTTGTTCAATTACACAGTTTCACCCTTTTCTATTGCTCACCTTAGATAGATAGAAATTAAGAACTGCTATTATCCTATCGATTATCACGCCGTTCAAACATCGAAAATAACGCTCCATCCCTCTTCTTTACTATTTATGCAAAATACAATCCGCCCGTAATTTTGTCTTAATTATTCGACTACATTTAAAACCAAATCACTCTAGCTACCATTATACTCAATTCAAATGTGTTACTCAGTTAGCCCATCTACCCTTTATTGTTGTCATTCTTCTTTACTACACCATCTCTCTTAATCATATCCGATCAAACCGATTTCGTGTTCTCGGTATAGATCAACGTGATATTCGTTCAGTGGGATCTAAAAATATATAATATATTCTCTCAATCTATATCATCTTACCCAACTTAATAGCCTAATTTCTCCTTTGCTTTTTAATCTGTTCTTTTAATCTTAACACTAATTGTCATAGACTATCAGGGATCTTATAACTTCATTCTCCATCATCACCTTTTTCTTTAAATTTCTTTTCTTCTTCCTTATATAGCTATTATCTCTTTTTCTTAACCTCCATCTTCTTTTCTTTCTCTTCTTTCCTCCTCCTTATTATCCATTCTCTATATTTATATATCATTAGGGTCAAAGGTCAAAGGTCAGCTGTAAGGAATCCTTGAGAACATGCACAGGGCTTTTTTTTTTTTTTTTTTTTTTTTTGCCTCTGAAAGCACATAAGGAAGTGTTTAGGGTCCGATAATAAGGCTCTTGGACCTTGAAGGGGTAAGGAAGTCAGATGTTGATGAAAGGAAGTGAACTTTTTTTTTTTGGGGGGGGGGGGCTAAGTCTTGTGAGGAAGTGAGGAAGAGCAGCTGATTCTTGGGGATGTGTGTGTGGGGGGAGCTGAATCTTGTGGAGTGTGTGGGGGGGGGGGGGGGAAGAAGGGGCGGGGGTTGAACAACAAAATCTCCACAAAAGGGGATGGAGTCAAGTCCCAAACAACCGAACAGCCTTTCCTACTTCATCACCCCTCTCCTTGTTTCCCTCCTCCTCCTCCTCCTCCTCCTCTTCTCTTACTCTTCGCATTATCGCCATCCCCCTTCCTCCTCCACCCCAGTTCATCATCCACGCTGACCTTCGCATACGCTTTATGTCACGGAGTTGGCTTTCAGTGTCCCCATTTCCCAAGGCTTCTGGGCAGAACGACCTCAGTTACTCGATACAGCCTCGTCGTGTTTCCCCGGTGAGTGGCTGTTAATGGCCCCTGACGAGATAGTTTCTGCCTCTTTGGGCTTTATATCGTTTTATTTATTATTATTGATATTATTATACTTGTTTTTTATTTATTTATTATTATTATCATTTTTTTTTTGGGGGGGGGTAGGGATGGGTTTTCATTTGTCTATTTGTTTATTTGTATCTTTATTGACCTTTTTATTGCTTATCTGCTGTGGCTAATTGTATAATCTAACTTTCTTTTTTGCTGTTGTTTGTTTTATGGTTTAGCCGTCTTGTATCTTACCTTTTCCTGGCCATAGTTATGTTTTGCGATTTTCAACATATGAGTTTATATAATTATAGCTTTTAAAAATCCTGTATACTTTTCTACTCATTAAATCTATACCTATTTTTCGTATTAGTTTTTTGTTTACTCTGTAATGTATCTGTATGTCATTTAGTTTTGGATATTTTTTTCTCTCTTTTTACTGTTTTGAAATTTAGACACCTTACTTCCTTATTTCACACACACACACACACACACACACACACACAACACACACACACACACACACACACACACACACACACACTGTCCCTCCTATCAGCCCTATCTGTCTCTTCATCCAGATGGGAAGCTGAAGAAACAAAAGCCCTCGCTATGATCCATCAGATCGCATGCGATGCATCAACGCAAACCACAGCACAACGCACTATGTCTGGTGTAACTTGTTCATCAGTCGACGATCTGTGTCAATTTTGGGGGAATTAGAAACACGAATTCTGAGGCCGGTGACTTGACTGAGGGAATTTGTAGTGATATATTACATGACCAACAAATCGGCAAGTTTGAAGGCTGTTTCGTAGTGTTCATTTTGTCTGTGTAGCTATTTATTTTCATTTTTGTTGATTCTTTTTTGTTTGTTTTGTTTTGCCGTCCAGTGGTTTCACATTATTATAGTCCATAAAATTGTTTTTCTGTATGGAATAAAGTGCTGCTATTTCTGTGGCTTAACTGTTGTCATCCTACTTGATTCTGTTGTGTCAGTAAGTCTCTCTCTCTCATCTCTCTCCTCTCTCTCTCTCTCTCTCTCTCACACACACACACACAACACACACACACACACACACACACACACACACACACACACACACACACACACACACACACATTGTCGCCCTACAATGCAAAGGGAATATCAACTGGCTGTAATTAAAGATAGGTTCTTTTATCAAACCCGCAACCCCATCCTGAGCTTGTTGAAGTTACTCAGTTTCTTCCACTTCTAAGTTTACTTTTGTTGCGTAATTATAAGCACATAATACCAAAATCTATATATTTAAACTGTCCTTCTATAATATGCTCACTCTTTATAAAATGAAAGACCCTTAATTCCGTGAAAAAAAAAATCCATAAATTCATTCAATAAACCCTTAGATCCAAAAGAGAATCCGTGATTTTAAAACATCACCACATTCATGATCCTCCGTAAACAATACTGTGGACTTCAAATATGGGAAAATATGGCTCGTTCTTCTCCTTAGGCAAGCAACTTTACCTTGATTGCCCGTTCTCAAAGCCACCAGGGGGCAAGCCAGCCAAGCCCGGATAAATAGAGAGCGTTGGTGTTAGGAATGGCATCCTACTGAAAAAAAAAAAAAAAAAAACATGCCAAAACCAATATGGAATGAGCCAAAATAAGGGACGGCTCATCCATAACGGGCGACCCCATTTAAATGGGAGAAAACTGAGAAGATACCATAACATACATCTTTTGTGTATGAGAAAATCATAGCATTTATTGTCACATTTGAAGGATTTTGTTGGATCCCAGAAATCCAAAAAATAATTAAAGCAGAATTTGGAATGAAAAAAAATGTGTACCGCTGTCTTTATTTTTGTTTCGAAATTTACATTTATATATATTAAAAAAGAATATTGCATATACATTATTAATGATAATAAACGTCTCAGATATAAGTAATATAAAAGGACAATTAGGAAAAACAGATGGATAGACAGAAAGGGAGGGAGAGAGCAGGAACAATGCGTATACATGAGTTGTGTGTATATATATATATATATATATATATATATATATATATATATATATATATATATATATATATATATATATATATATATATATATATATATATATATATACATAAATGAATATATATATATATATATATATATATATATACACAAATGAATATACATATATACCATATATATATATATATATATATATATATATATATATATATATAGTATATATATATATATATATATATATGTGTGTGTGTGTGTGTGTGTGTGTGTGTGTGTGTGTGTGTGTGTGTGTGTGTGTGTGTGTGTGTGTGTGTGTGTGTGTGTGCGCGTGTGCGTGGGGCGCGTGACGTGTGCATGTGTGCGCGCCGTGTGTGTGTAAGATATATAAATCTTTTGTTTTGTTATACAACGTACTAAATGCAACAGAGATATATATGCATGCATAACGTATTACTT